GCCTCTCTTGTATCATCAAATGCATCTAACTCCACTACCACAGCATTGTTCCAAAAAATTTTCAAGACTACGCGTTCGTCGTAAAATCATTCGCAACTGCAACACCACAACTAAATTTCGACCTCTGGGCGGTTTAGGGGCCCTTTAAAAGTACAGGTGTGTGCTCACTGCACTGCCTAGCCCCCTACAAGTGCTCTGAAGTCAACGCTACACACACTTCTGGCATTAAACACGAAGCCTCTGGGAATGAACCACTCCAATAGCAAACATGGAATGAAATATTGCCCTATAGGTAGTTCATCAGTTTTGTTAATAATTTATAATGCGATAGAAAAGTCGCGAGCAACAGCAGAGAGTGCAATGATCACCTGCGATGTATCATTTGAATCTGACATTGAACATGTAAAGCTTTTTTATTAAAAGTTTGTCACATTACAACACTTTTATGCTGTGTGTTTGATGCATGGGTGTGTGCGTGTGTGAGTGATCGTGTCAAGTTTTCGCGCTCTAATTAACTTTTCGAAATGCTCTACCAACTAGCCCAACAACAAGTTCTCTTTTATGCTGAACATGTGTATAACTACTTGAAAAAAATTTAGTGTTTCTCTATTGGCGCTTAAGAAAGCATAAATATGCTTCAACACTATGCCCATAACTGTACACATGATTCAGTACAATGCAGCAAAATTAAAAACAAATTAACCATATTCTTAGCTTCATCAATATTACTGTGCTTGCTAATGACAACATACCATTTCTTAAATGAAATACAGCAGTGAAAATTGACGCACACCATGCAAGCGCGCATGTGTGAGGGAAAGAGACACCTTTTCTGTCAGGTAACAACCTTATGTAACACCCAAAAAATGGTAATTACCTCATTAGCATAGGTCTTCACAAACTTCGGTGGAAAAATAAGCCTCTTGACATTCATAAGGACCTAAATAAATAAAACAGAATACAGCTGTAAGCAATGAAAGTGCCCACATGGGCCGAGTCACAAGACAAAAAAGACAATTGGGACACAACTCCCTTTTCTGTCCTAATTAAAACACAAAACAAAAACCCGTCATACTAGAGCCAACCCTGTTAAATATTTAAATAGGTCTGTTTGCCAAGCAGTTTGCCTTAAGAGTGCCGCTATGCAAAACATATACAAAGCTTGCTCAAACAGCTACTGCCCGTGAATTCACATACTACACCAGTACAGAAGTTATTAAAACCAATGTGAAAGTTTTTCATAACGTTTCAGTGAAGCTCGTATCACAAGTGATAGCATGAAATGAATCCAGATAAAAATGAACAGGTGGTCCTAGTCACCATTTCTAATTTTGATCATATTCATCTTAGTGGCAAGTTTTGTACCCACAACAATGACTCTGAAAAAAGTATTGTTGAAAATCGAAATTGTTTACAAAAAAATATTGTTCACCAAAAAAAAAAAGCTATGCTGATTGCTGAAAACACTTCACTGATTTTGCAATTTCCGAACTTTGAGTGCAATAAGTGAAAAAAAAATAATTGACTTCTTGATCACATTTTTTTTCCCAAAAAAAGTGAAATACAACTATTTGAGTATTTTATTTCACTTTGCTTAAGAAAAAGTTTTTGGGCGAAAAGTCATGAAAATAATTAGCAGCCAAAAATACCTGTAATTTAGGAATTTAATGCTGTAGACAAGTAGAAATGACAATAAAACTCAGCAGATAATGACAACGGTATCTGTGCTTTATTTTGAGATCATTTTTTTACTCTGTGGATAATGGCGATGGTATCTGTGCTTTATTTTGAGATAACTTCTTTAGCTTTGCTATTCAGCGCTATGCTTTAAACTTCTGCCGTTATGTGTGTGGTTTACCAAAATTCCAAAGTTTTCAAATAATTCTAAAAACAAACATCTTTAGTTTTTTTTTTATAGTCTGGTTAAACTAAAAAATGTTATCCACCATTCAAAAAAAAAGGAGGGGGCAAGAACATTGCATTATTTGAGTTCCTAAGAAATCACAATGCTTCAAATGTGACTGACTCAGCCTAGTGGCCATCCTCTAATTCTACCTGCAAGTTGAATGCAGATTTCTGTACTTGACATAATCAATATGAAGTTGTTAAAAACAAACAACTACATTGCTGGACTGCATGGTTCAGCAATCTTTGTCTTGTGATTCATGGCTTGGCAATCTTGAGCAGACGATCCCTGGTGGAGGCTGCTCATGGAGGAGGGCGCTCACATAACATGAATGCTTGTCATTTAAGTGTAAACTCCACTTGCGAAGTTCAGAGGGCAAACGAGTAGGCTTGAGCCAATATTCGAGCATTTAGAATATTCAAACGACTGTTACAGTACTTGAACTTGCCTCATTGATTGATTGATTTGTGTGGTTTAACGTCCCAAAACCACCATATGATTATGAGAGACGCCGTAGTGGAGGACTCCGGAAATTTTGACCACCTGGGGTTCTTTAACGTGCACCCAAATCTGAGCACACGGGCCTACGACATTTCCGCCTCCATCGGAAATGCAGCCGCCGCAGCCGGGATTTGAACCCGCGACCTGCGGGTCGGCAGCCGAGTACCTTAGCCACTAGACCACCGCGGAGGGGCTTGAACTTGCCTCAATTCAAACTTAATAGGTAATTTTCAAGTATTCAAAACGAACGAATAAAAACAAACCACAGTCACGGGTCTGTCACCCTATGTGAATCTGAAGCGCAATTTTTTGATGTTTTGCTACATGATGTCCTAAGCGTGGAATCATTCGCACATGTCCTGCAACTATAACTCTGTACATGCCTGCATGCAAACAAAAAGAAGCTTTTTTTAATAAAGTCAGTTGCAAGTTGATTTCCTATCTTGTCCTCTTTCTTTCTTTTTTTTTTTTTGTCTACGTGAGTTGTGTCCTTAATATTTCTTCAGAATGAGCCAACTAGCCCAAGAACACGCTCCAGTAAACTTCTCCATATTTCTTTGCCATTCCAAGATAGTTTACTTGACGGGGCTCGCAGCACTCTTCCAAGCTATGATTGAATAACTTCGCTATCGAAGTTTATTGTCTCACGAATCACTTGGAAAAAAAAGCTTTTTCACTTTCGTCTTGACGAGTGCACTGAAAGCTACACCAGGGGAATGACAAAGCAGTAAGAAGCTATGTCACTGCACATCACAACTTTGAGCATCTTCTTTCTCCCCCTCCCCTCCTTTTTTCCCCTTTATACATCTCCACTCACTTTCAGTTAGATGATGAGCACATTGCTGGTGTGTGGCTGCACCGCATGCTGGCTAAAGTAACTAAGCAGCACAACAAGTGCAATTGTTTTTTTTTTTAATTTATTATTTCCTTAATATTACAGGAAGAGGAGCAAGAGCTAAAGGCCGTGATACCTGACAGAGGCTCTTACTTGTTTGCACATTCGGCATGCATACAGATGGTTTTGATGCATGTACAACAATAAAGCATCAGCATGCACACTGTCGTTCTTTATGAAAGGGAAAACGCGAACGCATGGCCTGCGCTCTGCGGCAGCAGCTTACAGCCCCATCAACCGACAAGTAAAGAAAAAGCGCTTGCTTTTGGCGCCATCTATGGCCAAGCAAGATAACGAGTCATGGCCTGTAGACAAGCGCTGCTAGATTGAGTTTCCTCACTGCTCGCTCGGCGAGTTATCTCGAGCAATTACTGCAGCTTGCACCGTGGTCGCGCACAGTGTTTGATGTGTTGGCAGCGAACTACGCACAGCAGGCGTGAGCAGAGATGGAGTGCTATCTAGCAGCGCTTGTCTACCGGCCATAACTCGTTATGATTTTTTTGCAACAGATGACGCTGGAAGCGAACGTGTTTTCTTTTGCTGTCGGTTGATGGTGCTGTAGGCAACATCCGCAGAACGCAGGCCATGCATTCGTGGGTTCCCTTTCATAAAGGACGACAGTGTACATAACTAAATGCAAATAGAGCAAATACAGTTTCACATTATACAAGTACCTCCAGACAACAAAAAGGTATACAAACACTTCATAAATTGATACAATAAAAACACTTTATGTAAAATGAAAAGATATCATGAAAACACTTCATGAAAAAAAGTATATCATGCTTCATGGAAAAAAAGATGTATTAAACAGTTCAAAATTATGTACCTTAATGCATTAACTTACGAAGCCTGAAACTAGTGAAAAAAAATATGCATAAATGGTGTATAAAATGTTATTTTTAGAGCAAAAGTCTGACCAAGTACCTGGTGTGCACCAGCTTTGTCCTATGTCAGCTTGGCTGATAAATAGTAGCTAAATCAAGATAGTGCATCTCGAAGCCTATTGAATAAGCTAAACAACACACTCTCTCTGCCATTTGTAAGCTTGTAAAAGAGAAAAAGCATGCAATGGCAAGTTTATCACTGGTATTGGAAACAACTATGATGACAATGTTTCTTCCTTAATCATCGGTATAATTCCGTTCGACAATGTAGCTTGGCAAGAAGGACGAGTGATCTTTGTGTTTTTTTTTAATATGAAACTGCGAATTTCCTCTTGCAGGTAAGAGAAAACATTCGACTTACAAGTTCACAGGAGCATTTGACTACTTATCTGCAGCGTTTCCTAATTATGTTAATAAAAGTGTCGAAAGGCCCCATCAAGGCTTGCATGCAGTGTTTTCCTCACTGTCAAGTGACTGGGCAATATCTTTATAAGACTTATGAAAATAATACTCTGAATGTATTCTAGCTAGGCTTGTGCAAATATCCGAGCACTTCAAATATATAAACTATTACAGTATTCAAAAGAAACAAATAGGTGCATAATAGTCCAGCTGTAACTCCCCTGTACATGTGGTTTCACTGCGGTAGAAGGGTGCTGTACCGTGAAAACTTTTATCTATGAGAAATCCACACTGCCTTGAAGCCCCACTTCAAGGATAACAGGGTAGTTCTATCAAATTTCGAGGCTATAACAAACCTGTTTGTGGTTTTCTTCAGTATGCAACTCCACATGAAGTGTCAGACACAGCAAACGTTTAGAATATATTTTTATTCACTGCCAAAGTGTACCTAAATGCTTATTCTTCCAATGAAGACCCATCGCTAGCGCGTCCAACACTGCATTCACAACTATGAATTAATAATTAATTGAAATATTTAAACATTATCCACAAACATGTTTGAGTTTTTAAGCGAACTTATATATTTTAATTGAGGTAACATGAATGCAAAAATAACGATCCGTAGTGCCACACAACTTTTGCGAGAAACACCTGAACCACTCAGCGATCATTTACAGCTGCTGTGTAGCTGCGCAAAAACTGCATCATGTCGCCATAGTTGTGGCGTTTTGACGACCATTGACCGGGTGGCCTTTCAAAAGGGCCCGCGTAACACAGGTATTAGTTTGCACTCGTCCTGTGTGTCTTCTTTTCGTGCATTCTTTGTGCCTGAGAAGCGTGCTTCTTTTTTCAACAATCTGCTTGTCGTTCTTTGCATGACATTTCAATTTGTTGATATTGCATTGATTGCTTCACCCATGCAGCGAAACTATGACTTTAAGAGTTTTTTTATTGTTACACCGGCTTATATGATCTACGTATAGTAATTTATAATTACAGGTTATGACTTGCATTCTACTGACAGTAAAATCCTGCTACCATTCAAAGTTGCTTCCACTTTTTTGTAACCAAACAGAATGACATCTGCGCATGCCTTAATCCCATAAAAAAAAATTGTGCAGGTTAGTTGGGTCATGACAAATATGCTCATTTTTCTTTATACACTCGAACCTCAACATAATAAACCCAGGTATAACAAAATATCAGTTATAACGAAGTAAATGTAGACCAGTCTTGTAAATGTAATATATATAGTGTTAGGAATACACCTTTATTACGAATTTTTGCATACAACACACTTACTATTGTATAAGATGCCACTTTGCTATAATGAGGTTTGAATGTAATATGTGATGATGTACGTATACTATTAAAAATTATTTCACGAAAACTCTATATTCACTTCGAACGTCAAATTTATTATTCGCATAAGCCTAATTCTGGCCTACTTCTTGTATGCATAGATAGGCAAACTCACTCGTGAGTCGACTTACACTGAATCGCTCAGACTTGGATCGAGCCATGAGTTAAGAGTCTCAGAGAGCCCAGGGTGAGTCCGAGTCCAAATGAGTCCGGCTCAGGAAAATTTTGATGAGTCAAAGCGAGTCCAAAGCATACGATACATTTCTTAAGCGAGTCTGAGCGAGTTCTTTTTTTTTTTTCCAACCTATTGTCCCTGTCTGCTCATCTTCAGCATTACTATCAGCTTTACCTGTATTCACATTTACACTCATGTCTACTGACACGTATTTCAAAGTAGTGGTATCGTTCATACACCATTTTAATATTTATTGATCAGAGGTGTCAATTACGAAGGTGAGTTGCTGTGTGCACTTTCAGTTTTTAGTAAGCATTCGTGGTGTCTTGACTTCCTTCTTATGTGTGTGTTTGCACGCCCTGTCTTTTTTAGTATGAATACGTACCAACTAGCTCAGCTCTTATGTTATTCTACATAAAAGGTGCATTTATCTTCCTGCTGCCCACTTTTTCAGGAAAGTTCTTGATGAATATATTTTGTTATCTATTTAAAAAAAATGTCTCCACTGGTTTAAAACCAGTTGGAACTCTTACTCAGAGCTACTATATCAGAAGGCGCTTAAAAGAACCCCCGATTACGTGAGATACTTGGATTAAACAACGTTATCACCATGGTCGAAGAAGCTAATTCTAGGCTAACGGACTCATGAGTCAACTCACTCGGACTCAGATCAAGCCTTGAGTCTGAGTGAGTTCGTATTTTGGCGAGCTTGAGTCCAAGTCAGTCCGGTTGAAGAAAATTTCCATAGAGTGAGTTCGAAAGAGTGCGGCTCAGGAAGATTTTGGAGAGTCTGAGTCCGAACGAGTCCTAAACACAAAATATATTTCATGAGTGAACCTGAGTGAGCTCCACAATTTTCGCCAGCCTATGCTTTCATGCATTATCAATTCACTATTTTTTTTCTTTCTACCAGAATGTTTACAGCATCTTCAAGATACACTATGTGAAGCTGCATTTCTGAAAAAGCAAAAGTTCAGAAACTTCAAAGGATTCTAGCTCAAGCACAAAATTAAGGTTAGCTGGCTGGTATACCTTTACTCACCTTTGATAGGTGACAGGAATATAATAGTACATACATTTCTGCTTGCCCCCGACTATACTCGTAATTGCACGCTTCACGACCACATAAAGGAAGTCTTATGCTAATAGCAACAGCATGCGAACTTACCTGTATTCTCTCCATTTGAGTTGAAAAAGGCCATAGAAGCTCGAAAAAAATAAGCCCCAGAGAAAAGATATCCACTGACTGGTTGTACTTGAGGCCATCAATCTATAGAAAAGACAAATGCCAATACTATTGATGTAACATGCTAATGAAACTACAATGTGGCTATACAGCAGTCAATTGTAAGCAACTAAAAAGTCAAACTAGGGGCAACTGACAAACAGCAATTAACTATTGTAAAGAAAGCGACACAGAGACGGCACCCTTGTTACGGGCCGGCTGTTCTATTCTCTTCTAGCCATGTATGCGCCTGTGCCTGAGCACTGCTTTTGTAATCATTACATTCGGCCACGCAGCAAGTATATGGCATTCTGCCCGCAATATCTTGTCTCACTTACTTCACCGTCACCTGTAGAAATCATCTCTGGTGGTCTGCACTGGCTCTTCCGCGGTGGTCGTTCTAGTACGAAGTGGGGTTGCGGTGAGAGTAGGTTGTCTGACCCAGCTGACAGACATTCTGGGGGCCGACACTGGCTGTGTCGGATTGGTCGCTGATGGCCTTGGTAGCGCTGTGACGACTTTGGTCATGCTTTGGTCGTAAGAGAGCAATGCTTTAACCATAGCGGCATGTTTTCGATGTCTGCAGCCGTGTCGGTCTCTCACGCCTTGATTGGAGAGGCATCGCTGAATCGGATGAAAATGCCTCTGCGAGTACAAGTGCTCGCTGGTGTGTGTCTGGGATACACCAAATCCGTCAAAATCGGAGTCATAGATGTGGCAACTTTGTTTTGGGAGCCCACAGTCTGGCCATCTGGTAACATCGGGTGTACCGCAGGGCTCTGTCCTTGGTCCTCTTTTATTTATAATTTACATTAACGACCTTCCGATGCACACATCTTCAAATTGCTGCATGTCTGCTGACGACTGTGTCATTTATCGTACTGTCACTGACCCTTCTGACCAAATGTTATTACAAAAAGACCTCAACCATATCCTACAATGGTGTGATGACTGGCTTATGACCTTAAACCCTACTAAATGCAAACTAATCTCATTCACTCACTGTCTAAACCCTCTTCGCTTTCCTTATAACATAGCTAACGTCCCAGTCGAATCAGTAAACACTTACAAAACTATCGATTGTATGTTACCCACCCCTTAAGTAATACCCTCTCGAAGGTCTTTAAGGAAATAAAAATGAAATGAAATCGGCCCGCACAGACACGAATGCCAGGCCCCCTGTATCAAAAGTTTGATCTTCGCTGAGCGCAAGGTGACCACTGGCACATTCGGCCAATGACTGCACTGAACTTCGCATATGCAGCTCCCGCACGTCTCCGGGCATAATAATGTTGATCGTTGGCACGGGCTCCCCAAGCTTCTGAGCGTGTAGCGTGTTCACAATTAGAGGAGTAGGTGTCTCCACGTTCCAAGGTGGTGATGGGCTTCCAGCTTGCGTCATCAACATCTCTGGCAGGGAGGCGGTAGACTCTGTCAAGTTGTGTTGTGCGGCAGGTATCGACGTAGAGTCTGACATGATGATGATGTTTGATGTTTTGTGGCGCAAGGGCCATTTCACGGCCAAAGAGCGCCAGTTCATCTTACTAAAAATATGGACAATGATTGTGATAAGCGGCTGTATAAGGGCTATAAAATTCCTCGCGGTAAGGCGGGTAAAAACATACAAGTAATAAAATCATGACCATGCCATGAAAGGTGTGTGTGGTGTGAATAGATGACAAAAGTTGGTGATAATAAAAAACGATGGTGGACATGTATGGCATTAGCACAAGTGCCTCACTCGTTCATACCCTTGCGTCCAAGGGCCGTGAGGCAAGTGCTTTATTGTGTAGCCACCGCAGCAAAAACCTCTCTGCAGAGGTCGTGCTACGGAATGCCCAGGTATATGATATGAAAACTATGAGTTTCTTTTAAAAATGCTAACAATGATTTATGACTAAAAAGCAGTTCCCTACCAACGAACATTGCACGGTGTAAAGGTATATGTTGTCGGTAGGGTAATGAAAAATGTTGTTTTCTTAGAGTTTCTAATTGTTTACATTGGATTAAAACGTGAAGGACTGTTAATGTTTCACCACATTTTTCACACAATGGTGGATCACCACCGGACAAAAGATGAGTGTGTGTCGTGTATGTGTGTCCTATCCTGAGCCTCGTTAGTATTACCTCTGTATGACGCTGTTTTGATACTGGCAGCCAATGACCAAGGTGTGGCTTAATAATGTGTAGTTTGTTTTGTGTGTGTCTATCCCACTTGCTCTGCCAGTAGTCCCTGAGGTTTCGTTTGAGGGACGGCTTAAGCTCAAGGGCCGGGATTGATATGGGTGTAGGGGCAGTGCTTTTGTGGACGGATGCAGCGAGCTGATCCGCCTTCATGTTGCCTGGGATCTCACGGTGCCCTGGCACCCAGCACACTACAACATGTTGTTTGAGTGTGTAGTGTGTGCATAAAATGGAGTAAAGTGAGACAAGGACTGGTTTTTTTTGTTTTTTAAGAGTGTGCAGAGCCGTTACCACACTGAGGGAGTCCGTATAAATTACTGCTTTTTGTATTTGTAATTGCTTGATGTGTTTAGCCCCCACAAGTATCGCATAAGCTTCCGCTGTGAAGATACTTGTGCCTGGATGTAGAGGGCCAGCATTCAAAAAGGATGGGCCAACAGCAGCGTAGGACACAGAGGAGTTAGACTTGGAGGCTTCTGTAAAAAACTCAGGACGTGTGTATTTGTGTTGAAGGATGTGAGAATTGAGGCTAGCCCGCTGCCTTTGCGCGGGCTTTGCCGCCTTTTCTGCCGTTCTCATGTCCCGACATGTCGTCTCCCCTCCTTTGCTGCCTGTCGCGCTGGGGGAGAGGAGTGACGTTTAACTCGCTCACCCGGTAGCGGATGTTGACTGTGGCGCTGCGCGCGGAGCCTCCCGAGAGGTTTTCGCGCGCTGCGTCGGGAGCGGGCAGACAGATACTCTCCGGGACTGCAAACGGTGAGCCACGCAATCTTTTCTGTTCGTCAACTCCCGGCGCTCGGGGCTCGTCGAACTTCGCTGACGGCGCCTCGCGCCCGAGGCGAACGATCACCTTTTGTTGCCCCGCTGCGTATGCACGGCCGAAGGGCGGTACGCTGCTAGTGCGTGGCCTGGCTACGCTGACCCGTCTCCCTCCGAAGCCAACGCAAGCGCCTTTGCCCTCGCTCGAGCAACCGGGCCTTGGTTCCGGTGTCTTCGTGGATCACCTTTACCGCGGAGGCGTGCTCGTGGCACCCTGTGTAGTACTTTTGTGCCCGTGGCATGGATAAGCCCATTTGCTTTCCCGCCGCGCCTTTGCAACGGGCTGTACTGCGTTTGGTGTTGCCACAGTAAAGTGTTGCGACTTTGAGCAGTATCGTGTTCTCGCCACGGCGACGGTTAACGCGTGCCCTGCGGCTCGCTAAGACCGGACCCACGCTGGTGGCCGTACTCCTTCGGGATACGTGTACACCACACTGGCGCCCAACGTGGGGCCGGTCTTATGCGATAAAAGAAATGTCCAAATTATCAAAAGTATCAGAAAAACTATGAACAAATATCTGTTAAATCAATACACTTTCATTTTCTTGATGAACACATAAATCCTGTACTTTTTTGCATAAGTGCAGTGTAAAAACGGCAATTTTCATCATCCTGCAACTTCGTTTTCAATGCGACCATAGTGACAAACTGGCTTGCCTAATTAGACTGAACATGCTCTGCTCTCGTCTCTTTTGCACATGACAATAGTTCATTTACAGGTAAAGGGCCCAGCAACTGATTGTTCCTTCATCACAATGTAGCAAATGAGTTTTATGCCAGCATAGCAACTGGAACTCAACACTCTTGATCTTCAACAGCTTCCGTGATGTTTGAGTTTTGTGATATTGCGTGCTCATTGCATCAAGCTGAAATGAAAATGCACAGTGCTGGATCCACGATGGCAAAACCACTGTCACTTACTGATAAGGATAGCAATACAGACAGCGCTGCATTGTTCTGGTTGTCTGTGAATGCCATTTTCAATCATTTGTTGCATCAAGTTGAAATGAAAATGTACAGTGCTGGATCCACGAGGGCAAAACCACTGTCACTAACTGATAAGGATAGCAAGACAGACAGCGCTGCATCGTTCTGGTTGTCTGTGAACGCCATTTTCACTCATTTGTTGCATCAAATCGAAATGAAGATGCACAGTGCTGGATCCACGAGGGCAAAACCACTGTCACTAACTGATAAGGATAGCAAGACAGACAGCGCTGCATCGTTCTGGTTGTCTGTGAACGGCATTTTCACTCATTTGTTGCATCAAGTCGAATGAAGATGCACAGTGCTGGATCCACGAGGGCAAAACCACTGTCACTAACTGATAAGGATAGCAATACAGAGAGCGCTGCATCGTTCTGGTTGTCTGTGAACGCCATTTTCACTCATTTGTTGCATCAAGTCGAAATGAAAATGTACAGAGCTGGATCCACCAGGACAAAACCACTGTCACTAACTGATAAGGATAGCAAGACAGACAGCGCTGCATCGTTCTGGTAGTCTGCGAACGCCATTTTCACTCATTTGTGTAGTTTTACGCTCTACGTACTTCGGGAATCATCCAAATTTATGGAATTGTGGCCAAATTTGATTGGAATAATGAAAGTTCGATGCCATTAAAAAATGCACATGATGGCTGGGAAGAGGGAACAAGTCTGAATTAATTATCCCATTTTTTGCATTAACAAAGGTATAATTACAGCTTTTACTGAAGGTCACTGTTTTTATCAGCTTAATATTATATGAACACCTAGAACATAAAAAAAAACAACCAGCTACTACACTTTTAGGACAGGCGCAACTTCTACTGTCTACAATTAGTTAATGTAGTTGCCATTCCATTTCATTGTTGGCCAAGCACACAATGTGATTGGGTGTCCGCTTCTGTCTTTGCTCACTTAAATTTAAGTAAGGAACTGTTGAACTATACCCATCAATTATCTGCACATATCAAACATGCACATCAACTCAGTGCAGCCTCATGCAGCAGCGACGAGCTTTGAATACTGTCTATTTTTTTCCCCCCATGATATATGGTG